ATCCTAAATAAGTTGGAGACCACAGCTCAACCTCTGATACCTTCCTTATGAAGTTGATGGGGCATAACCAACAGAGAAGGAATGAGTATTCCTGCCTCATCCAACACCTCTGGGAAGTTGATGAAGGTTAGACAACCAGGAAGCTTCTCCTCACTCGCCTGCCTCACTTTGTTCAAGCATCCCTTGTCTTCATCTTTGTGAGTGAATAAGGAAACTTTGACCTTCAGAACCAGAGGACTCAAGAGAAAATGAAGACTTAAAAAAAAATTAAAAATCTGTGGACTCACTGAGTCTTGAACAGCCTCTAAGTGCACAACGAGATTAAAAACACTCCATAGTATATTCTTTGTTAAAACAGTAGTCAAGGGCTGAGGTTATAGCTCAGTGGTAGAGCACTTGCCTAGCATGTGTGAGGCACTGGATTCAATTCTTAGGGCCGCATATAAACAAACAAACAAACAAATAATAAGGGTCCACTGACAACTCAAAAAATTTTTTTTTAAAAAAAACCACTAGTCATATGATACTCCTTGATTTGCTCTTCTAGAGTATGTATTTTTCCTTCCACCCCTGAATTGCAATAGTCTTTCTGAAGTTAACACTTCAGTGAACAAAAGTAAAGTGGAGAAGTCCAAACCAATAAAGGTACATGTGCAGCAAATGCTAAAGTCCTTTCCAACTTTGACTTCCTCTCCTATCTAGCTGATATTGGACAAGTCACGTTTCCTCTCTAAATCTCAGCCTCATAATTTGTCAAATGGGAGGTCAGATACCTGCCAGCTTTTCTTGATTTGGTTAGAAAATGTTCAGCACAGCCAATACTGAGTGCTTCTCTGAAGGAAGCCCATGCGATTTAATTGCAGTAGATCTTGGCATTTGCATAGCTGACATCTGTGCCTTTGACTATTCCCAGAGACCCCAAAGGTCCATGAGCTGCAATAATGGGTTATTTTGCAGAGGCGTGCTGTGAGCCTGGGATAGAAGAGCCAGTCACTTGCTTAATGAGTGAAATTACCGTGAGGCAAAACTCATATCTCCATGAGTTATAGTGACATTCACAAAAGCAGGGATTCGCCTAGATGGTGAAGATGTCAACAGTGTCACTTGCAAATGCTAAGGGCTTATTGTAACCTGGGTGTATGTTAATCGTGTATACACCCCTGCTCCTCCCCCTTCACTTCTACATTCTTAATGAAGGTTACTTGAGACACTTCAGTGGTGTCACACACACAGCAGAGCTCTTGTTCCTCTTTTATTGAATCTGCCTCAACTATATCCTTCTTCCATGTTTAGATTGGTGTAAATACATGAATTCCCTCCTCCTGAGAGTAAAATCCTTCAGAGATGAAGAGCTAGCTTGTCTCACTCATTAATTTATCCCTTGTGCCAAGGCATGTATCCAGTACATCGCAAATATTTAATAAGTGTTTGCTGAATGACTGAGCACCTTCTATGGGGAATCACTGTACTCAAGGGGCATTTTTTCCTATTTCTATTTGATACTCTTTTTCAGAGCCTTGTGTACACCAAGCAACTACTCTACCAGTGAGCTATATTCCCCAGCCACCGGATTTAGTTATCACTCCCTGCCAGGATAGATATTATTCTATCATTCCAGCAAAAAAGTCTGGGATTCAGACAGGTGAAGTGAACTACTTCAAAGTTAACACAACTCCTGAGTGATGGGTTCACATCTATTTATCAGATTCCAAAGTTCGTTCTTTTCTGTCCTATCATGCTGTTTAGGACAACTTTAAGAAGTAAAGCCTTTAACCAAGCAAATTAATTCAATATTATTGATGGCTCCAGTGTTACTGATAGACCACGAGCCTGCCTATAACTTGATTCTATCTAGAAGACTAAGGTGAAGGCAAAAGTGAAAATGCCTACCCCAAGGTTGGTAGGCAAATAAAGCTTCAGAAAGAGGGAGGGGTTAGAGAGCAAGATTGTTTCCAGTATCACGCAGCTTCTGTACAAGTATCCTGAAGGTTTCAATTTCAGTTCCCAGATTGGTATTGCAATTAGCAGGGCCTTAGTAAGAGCTTTGTTCTTGCAAATCTGGAGTTGAAAGTTGGAACTGGAGGAAAAACATTCATGATTCAATTAAGCAAGCCATTTGAAAAGCCACTTTCTTTCCTGAGTCTCATGGTTTGGTCAGGAGCTTTATGGTTTTTTCATTCTAAACAGGGACCAGCAGCATCAGGACCTTGTCAGAAAAGCACAACCTTAAACCCTACCCTAGACCTTCTGAATTATAATCCGTACCTTATTGAGATTCCTGGGTGATTGATAAGCACATTAGCATTTAAGAAGCATAACTCTAGAAGATATTCTAAGGTCCTTTGTGGCTCTGACCATTTATGAGTTTAGGTGAGGACTCTTCATGGTAACCAGAAAACCAGCATGCTCATTAATTAGGGTCGCACAGAGATACAAGCAACCTGATCATCTTATGACCTCTTCTGAAGAATATTGCTAATTCATCAATGTTACTATTAAGGCTGTGTTTATCGAGCACATACCATGTACCAGGTATATGGTAGTTTTAATAGCCCTACAAGAGAGAGATCATCATCCCCATTTTACCCATAAGGAAATGACCTCATAGGTTAAAAAAATTTCCCCAGACCACATGGTCAAGTCAGCAGCATTGCCAGATTTCTAACCCAGAGTACTTAGTACTTAGTACTTCTTTTGCTACATTGTATTATTGTATTATCTCTCATGTTAAAAGATCTTCTGGGTAGTGACTAGCAGGTTTTTTTTTTTCTTCAAGAAACCTGAAAGGATCAAACCACACAGAAATTTTTAAAAATAATGAAATGAATATTAAGAATGTAGATTTGCTCACCCAAACCTGGACTATGTGGACGAGAGGTTGACACCATTTGGAACAAATGTCACCCAGAAGTAATGTTCATGGACTCATTTGCCCCAAGATATTATATAATCAAACATAAATAAGTTGGAGGAAGGTTTAGTCATATCCAGAGATTCTAGGTAAATAGTTGATTATTACTAGAATGAGGAAATTGGGATCTAACCCTGTGATCCCTCATAAACTACCCTTCCATGCCATTGGGAGATAGGTACTAAATCAGAGAAACTATGAGTTCATAGAATTAGGGCATATTCTGTAGGCTTGATGCTATTTGATGCCTGACAATAAACTCTTACATACCAACATTGCCATAAATGTGTGAAATTTCATGGAGTTTGTCTTCCCAGCAAGGGCCTGGCCTTCATTTATATGTATGAACACTCTCCCCAGAGCATATATAAATGGATAGTATTCTCTGGAAGGCACAGGTTTTTACTTATGCTAACAAATGATTATCCTTCCCAGCAAAATGACTAAACAGAGCTCTAATAAATCAATTTGTCAATGGCTATTTCCTTTCAGAAGACAATATCCCCTGCTCCATTTTTTGGCTCAGGCAAATACGACCTACACAGAGCATTTGTGTCCAGGGTTCAGAAAATCCTTGAACTGGAAGGAACTGCAAAAGAATCTGACCCTACTTCCAGGAAAGGGAAGTATCTTTATTCTCACTTTGAATAGGAGAAGGTTTAGTTCCAGAGTTACTAAATGACTTGCCAAAGTCACGTTATTAGGAAAAGATTGAGGATAGGGGTAGAGTTTCCTGGGTCTTTCAGCTCATTTTCCAACAGAACCCAACCCTTTTGGAGTACTGTCCCAAGACTGGACCTGGGAAGCAGCCGTTCTACAAATACATCTTTCCCTGGGGTCCATGGATCCCCCTTTTCTATGAGTTGCTTCCCTCCCTCCTAACTGTTGCATGGTTTAATTTCCCACTGAAAGTATAATTCACAGGTTCTTGGGGCAGTCTGACATCCTCCTCTTTTATTCTTCACCTCAATTCCTGCTGTTGTTTATTTTTTGTGGACAGGAGCAGGAATTCAGAGACAGGTTTCCTGTTTTCTCATCTCCATCTTTCTAGGCCTCCCCAGAAGGTCCACCCTATCAGAAAGCTGCAAATCTTAGGCAAAGCCACTCTGCTTTCTTCTTTGAAGATCTCCATCTGAGAAAAGGACAGAATGACCAATCTGTGAGAAGGTTCAATGGGGAGAGACCTTAGGGTAGTCACCACAACAGAAGCATGGTACCTACAGCTTCTGAAGAACTGGATGGGGCAATAACCAGAGGATTACTCCAGGAGAGTTCTAGCTTATGAAACGACATGAACACAGAAGATGCGCTTTCTCCCACAATTATTAAGAGGCGTCTCTTCTCCTTCACTGCATAGCCAGAATTTGGAGCTTAGACCTGAGACTAGATACAGGCAGTCTGCAGGCATGGGAACTCTGCTTCTCCAAGATACCACTAATACCGAAGCCATATTGATTCATCTCACCTGGCTGGGCAAGCCTTGCTCCATAAAATTGGCTATGGACAGTTAAAGAGACTCTGCCAAGAGTCTCAATCAATTTTTCAATTTCCAAATTGAAGGAGAAGTGCCTGAAATCTGCCTATGCAATACAACAGCCATCGCTGGGTTTTTTTTCCCCCTCTCTTTCAGACTATTCTGATTGGGCTATTGCTGTCCCAGAAGGGTATGGAACTGGCTTCAAAGCTCATAAGTCCTTTGTATGAAAAGAGGAGGAAGGGGAGGCCCAAGCAGTTTCCTCACTCTTGCTAGTCACAAGAATTCTCTAAAATCTGATATTACACAACTTCTTTCATCCTATTCCCCCATCAGCCATCATTTTTGAGTCTCAAGAAGACAAAACTTTCTGTGTCCTTAGATCCTAACACAGGATCCCTTGCCCAGAAACAAAGTGAGAAAACCAAAGGAGAATTGGGAAGCAGGACCTGTCCAGTAGGGTCGGCTGCTCCTGCACACCTGTGATGGAACCAAAGTTTGACATTAACACAAATACAAGGAGGAGGTTTGAAGGGTACAGAAGGACAGAAGGAGATGGCAAGGGAGGGCTGAGGGGGACTGGAATACCAAAAACCAAAAAAAAAAAGTACTTACACTGTCTCATCATTCTTGAATTCCAGCTCCCCATACGTGTCTTCAAAGTCCTCACCACCACCCTTGGCCGTCCCTTCTACTGTCCTAAAAGGGACGATGACTGTGCCCCGGGCCCCTGATGTCCGCAGAACCTTGACTTCCATAACACCAATACTTTCACTGACATGAATGGTATCACATTCAAAAGTGAAGATGCCCGCATGATCATCGTCTAAGATGGTGACCGTGGCCACACAAGGGGACGCTAGGACAGCCCGAGGCAGGGGAAGACTGTTGAGGATGGCCGGCGGCGGCATCCCCTCCTCGGGCTGCTCCTCTTCGAGGCGGACATTGCTCAGCCTCACAAAGAAGTGTTCATCCTCCTCAAAAATGTCATCGTCAATGATGCCCACGGAGAACTCCTTTTGGGTCTCTCCTGGTTTCAGAACCACAGTGCCCTCTGTGAACTCGTAGTCAGCCCCCGCGTTGGCAGAGCCGTCCTCGGTTTTGTAGTCCACATACATGGTCTTGGACATGTCTCCTCCTTTCCTGACCACCGTCAGGAGCACGGCCCCACAGTTCTCCAGGCACTGGTAGGAACAGGGGTCGAAGAAGACCTTGGAGACCAAGTCCTCGGGCTCCTCGGTGTGCACCTCGCTCATGCTGGAGCTCTTCTTGGCCTGCTCTGCGGCGTGTTTCTTCAGGATGTTGCCTGCACCGGTCATCATGCGGGTGGCTTGGATCCGGTAGAAGGCGCGGCTCTTCTGTTGGTGGGAAAGAGCGTAGTAATTGGCCATCTCCACCAGCTGGTCTAAGTCCTTCTCTGGGTGTTTCTGTTTCAGATCCTTGAGAATCCGGATCATCTCCCGGCGGGACTCATCCACTTCCTTCCCTTCCAGGGGCACCAGGTTCCCATCTAAGAAGTGGGAATTCATCATTTTCCCATCCATTTCAATGCCCTTGGGGTGGTCACCCTCCGTCTCTATGATAATTCCTCGGTGTTTATCCGTGCGGTACTTTTTGTGCATATATTTATAGAAAAGCAGTCGTTTGTCTGCCACCCAGGCCAGAAGGACACAGACTGGAAAGAAGAAGAGGGTGAGGAGGCCTTCCCAAACCTGGACCACACCAGGAGAGAAGACGGCCAGGATCATATAGAGCCAGATGTAGGCAAAGATACTCCAGGCAGCAGTGACAAAGAAGACCCTCAGGTGCTTGATCTTGCGTGTCTCTCCGTCGGGGATCACGTAGACGCAGATGCCAATGATGATGAACATGTTGAAGGCCGCACTGCCTACAATGGTAGAAGGTCCCAGATCACCAGCAATGAACCCGTGGCCACACACCTCAATTAAAGAGAGGAGAATCTCAGGGGCAGAAGAACCGAGGGCCATAAGGGTCAGGTTGGAGACAGTTTCATTCCAGACCCGGATGGTAGTCGTGCTGGTCTCCCCGTTGGGCTTTTTAATGGTCACCTCCCTCTCTTGGGAGGTGATGACTTCAATGGATGCCATGAAGCGGTCGGCAATGATGGACACCCCCAGGAACATGTATATCAGGGCCACGAAATAGACAATGACCCTGGCGATCTTGTCCCCGAGGGAAGGGTTCTCTGGATACCAGATTGGGAGGATGACGCCTTCCTTGCAGTCCGACGACCCTGAACAGGACTCATTGTTCTGCCCTGTGCTGGGCACATCTCCTGAGCCACCTGCCTCTGCCCGAAGACCATTCAGGAAGAGCATAAAAGTAACTAGCCCAAAATGGAGGAAGGCAGAGGTGAGAGGCTGCAACCTTAACCACGCCATACACGAGACTTAGATGCTAGCTTCCGCCGCAGCACCAATGGTCCTCCTGACAGGCCAGAGACCTAGGAAAGATCAGAGAGGCACGAAAAGGCATGAGGAAAAGGGGGCAGCAAGTGGCAGGCTCCCACCAACACAAACGGATGCTTCACCTCCTGCGACATATTGCACTGACATATGGGGCAGTCTCTCACTTGGAAAAATAGATGTCAATGGGAGGCACAAATAGCTGCTCTGTCCTCGGAACCATCTGGTGGGAGACTCAGTTGAAGAATGGTTTGAAATAGCCAGGAATATTGGTGATGGGAAGCTAGGCAGTAACCTTCTAATCCTATCTCCCCAATGATCTAGACTCCATTTAAAATAGGGTGCCCACGACCTGAATCTTAGTACTTCTAGAGCGTTTAGACTTATTTTCTCCATTGTCATCATACTGAAGACTCCTGCTTTACAGGGGTTTGCAAGAGTAACTACTGAACTGAGTTTTCATGAGCTAGTCTCCCAACGTACAACACCTTGCTTTGAGTGTAATTGAACGCTCTTGGGTTAAAAAATTATGATAAAAAAAAAAAAGGAATAACACCACAAAAAAATCTATAAAAAAAAAAAAAAAAAAAAAACCTTCCCCAAATGCAAAACTTCTGGAGACAAGATATCATTCTGAGATTTCCTGTGAAACCAAGAAAGTCAACATCTAGTTAACTCTACTTGCACCACACTAAACCGAGGCTGTGTCAAGTGTGCCCAGGTAGAGTTCCCAGCAGCTCTTGACCCTCCAGTGGAACACACTTAAGAACAGGTTAGGAAGCCTGTTACAGGAAGGGAAAGACCAATCAGCCACTCAAGTTCCAAAGCCAAAGATGGAAAGAGACCCATAGTAGAAATTGTTATTAATAAAACATGCAAATGGCCCTCAAGTAAGTCTTTTATAAAAATGGAGGCAAGATTTTGGGGTGAAATGCAACCTCATCTGCTGGCCTCAAACCCCTAAAAGGTGAGCATGAGTTCTGAAGAACAGGAAGAAACCCAGTTGAAACTCCTCTTAGTCTTTCCACTCATTGCCTCATTGAGATAGAATAAGAATAAAAATAACCATGCAAAAGCCTAAAAAAAAAAAATAAAGCAACCTATTCATTTCCCCCCTCTGCTACATTCATGTAGGGATCCTTCTAGTAGCAGAGTAATGCTGATGTCCATTTGTGCAGCAGCTTAAGGGATTCAAAGTCCTTGTCCTCTGTATATGCTCCTTTGGCCAGTGTTTCCCATCTCTGAAAATAGCACCTCCATCTACCCAGTTACTCATGCTAGATGACAGGTGTTATTCTGAAAGCCTTCCTGACCCTCCTGCCTCTTTACCCAACCCAGGACTAAATCTTATCAATTCTCCCTCCAACTCTCCTGCCAACCTTACTGCCCAAACTCCCGTCATTCCTCATGGGATAAATCTACTCCAGTAGTCTCCCAACTGCACTCAGCACTCCAGCTCTTGCTAGAGAGCAGAGTCTTGATTCTCCTGTCCCCATATAGCCAAAAAAATCTTTAAAAAAAAATCACCAACACAGTGGTGCATGCCTATAATCCCAGTGCTCAGGAGGCCGAGGCAGGAGGATTGCAAGCTACAGCCTCCGCAACTTAGTGAGGCCTTAAGCAACTCAGCAAGACCTTGTCTCTAAATAAAATATTAAAAAGGGCTGAGGATGTGGCTCAGTGGTGCCCCTGGGTTCAATCCCCGGTACCAAAAAAAAAAAAAAAAACCAAAAAACCAAAATCCAAACTTATATACATCCTTCCCTTATTTGAAACTCTTTCATAATTTTCTCTTACTCTTGATACAATCCTAACCTTGATTTGCAAAGGATTGTAGAAAATACCTCCTTTCTCCTCCTCCCACCCCATTCTGTCTCTTACTACATTTCAACAATGCTCTTCATTTCTACCCTTGAATGACATGGTGTTATTCCCCACCTCAGGATCTTTGCATGTGCCCTTATTCTTGCCTGAGGTGAGTGTTTCTTCTTTGCACCCCCACTCTTAATAATGTTTTAGGTCTTGGCTGAAGTCATGCTCTTAAAAAGAAAAAAAAACCTTTTGTCACCCCTAAAAAATGGTCAACTCCCTTTGTTAGGTTCTCTCATTTTACTGTTTGCCCTTTCTGTAAGGCACTTCCAAAACATTGAAATTACATGTTTATTCTTAGTGTTTAGATGATCAGTGTCTTAGTCATTCATAAAGCTGTAAATAAGAGCAATACATAAGGCTGTATCTCTTCAGCTTATTGTGGTGTCCTAGGTATTTAGTAGGTGCTCCGTAAACGTACACTTTTGGAATGAATAAGTGTAGACATCAAGGAAGTTTCCTAAGACATCACCTTCTTTGTAGCCATTTTACGATTAAATTATGATCATTTGCTTTGGAAATAAAGAGAGAGGACTCAGAGACAAATCCTGACTAGAGATTTAGAGGCTGTGGAGGACATCTATAAATTCCCAAAGCTTGTGCTCAGAGAGAAATTCCCCCTGGGACCCAGGTCACCAGGGTACATCCTACAACCCTAAAGGCTTCCTTCCAAAGGGCTGCGGATTAACTTGGTTTCGTGTTCCCCAGAGTGGCATCCAAGTGCTGAGGACCACATTCCTCATCAGTCCAGGTACTGGGGGTCATCACAACATGTGCTTGGGGCCTCTGCCTTTGACCTCACTCAGAGGACAAGAGGTCACGAGGACTGCAGAAGAGCAGGTTGGATAAAGATGTTCATCACCCACTCTTGCAACCTGTGATGAGTGCAGGGATTCCCCTCCACACACACACACACACTCAATTCAAATTCTGACACTCATTCACACCGGGAAAGTGTGGATAAACAAAGATCCTGGCTTCTTGCCTTGATCTGTGAAAACCCTGACACTCTGTGGATTCTGATAAGCCCCTTGCAGGAGGAGACAGAGGGTGGGCACCGCTGGAGTGGCTCTTCCATCAAGAGCCAACATGGTGACAGGAGGTGGTACCCCCAAGGGAATGGGGTATCCACAGGTGAGGGAGGAGGGTTACCCTTCTGGAGAACCTATGTGGTAGAGTTATCCTGGGTCACAGGGGGCATGGACTCCTGTTTATCTTATGCACCAGGAGGATTAAGAAGGATTGTGGCTTTGTTCTCCCTGGACTCCTCAGACACTTTGTGGTGAAGGGTTTTCATAAGGTTTATGCTATGCTCTGGTCAGTATCAGAGGCCAGTTCCTCGGGAAAACAACTGAACCAAGGGAATGAATGAAAAGAAAATGAGGCAAGAAGGTAAGGCGTGTCTAGTAAATACTTGCCCTGGCGTTTGGAATTGAAGGTGGAAAATGCTCTTTGATAGCCTCAGGGTGCTTTCCAGCCCTGCCCGGGATTGGCTTCTGGCTGAGATTGTCAGAGGGGGAGGACACAGCTGTGATGGGCATCCGTGGTCTTTTTTCTGTGTGTGCCATTACTTACCAATTGAGACAAACTCCTGAGGGTCTCATTAGTTTCTCTGGAACCCAGACTCAGGGATATGACTCAAATTTAGACTCCTCCAAATAACAGATATGAACAATAGTAATGAACATACACATTAGCATTTATGGTGCGCACAATGCAAATAATTTAATTTTCATCACAACCCTGTGAGATTAGCAATATCTTTATCCCTATGTTCCCATTTTGAAAGAGTGAGTCTTGGTTAAGTCATTTTACTCAAAATATAGAAGGCCAGGAAATAGTAAAGCCCAAAATCTCACACAGTTGACATAGAACACATGGATCTGATCACTCAATTTCCCCAAATTATCTCATTTGGTTATAAGCACATCTATCTGCTTCTAGCCTGATGTGGGCTTAGGAGCAATGTGCCTGTCCCACACTCCCCATAGAAGAGAATAGCCACTTGATAAAGTCGCACAGTCCCCAGGCTTCCTGGGGCTGTCCTGGCTGCCTGCTGCAGTCTCCCAAATGAATATTCTTTTCATCAGCTCAGTTTGACAAATATTGACAAAGGCCTGTGATTTGCCAGGCCTGGTCCTAGATGCCGTGGGTAAAAAGAAAAATGAGATACAGTGTTTGCCCACAGAGGTACCATCGAGCAGGGGCGGAGACAATTTTACTACACAAAGTGGAGGCAGGCAGAAGGCTGTGGGGGTTCCAGGAGGGCGCTGAGCTAATGTGGGGATTCAGGGAGGCGTTCTGAAGGAGGTGATCCCTGAAATGAGTCTTCAAGCTTGAGTGAGCTTTAGTCAGAACATAAAAAAAGGAAAGTGGGAAGGGCATTCGAGTCAAAGAGAACAGCCTGAACAGAAAGATCACAGAGACACAAAAGAGCCCCCGTGTGCATGGGATGTGCACGGGATTACAGGGAATTCCGAGTGAGGCAGGGGGGTCAGCAGATGAGGCTGGACGTTGGGGGGACACGATTCACGGCAGGTCTTCTACGCCCGGCTGAGAAGATGGGATTTGATCTCAAGGGCAGAGAAAAGCCAATGATGGGATTTGAAACAGGAAATGACATGGTCCGATTTATATTTCAGAAAAACCAATTTCGCTAAAGACTCAGGACGGCTGTAAGGAGGACAAGACTGGAACAGAAGATCAGTTAGAAACCTATTGCACACAGAGCAGATGCAGATAAGGAGGCCCAGGGTGTATTCTGCATGGGACAACTCTCTGCCCCCATGTCACGTTCCTCTCCCTCAGCCAAACGGATGCCCTGAGTCCGTGACCTCTTGTCTCTTTCCTAGATTATTTTCCTAACGCCCCCAGGGCCATCTGCAAGGTGTCTGTGTCCTCAGCAGTGGCTCCTGACATCTTTTAATATCACTGGCAAATTTAATTAAAGTCACTGTTCCTCTGCTCTTCCAGATCATTAATAAAACAGTGCCACCAGGCCAGACTGAGAAATGCTCCCTACTGCTACGCCCTCCACTTTCTCCAATGGGAACACTGCTCCGGGCCTGTCACCAGGCTGGGTAGAGTCGTCCTTCTCTGCTTCTAAATCTGGGGCCCTGCACAGGCGTCACAGCCAATTTACATTAAAGTTTTAGGTGCAGCAGCCAGG